GGGAATGAAGTTCTTCCCTTTGTCAAAGACCGGGGGAGTTCCTTTTCCCAATGCCTATTTCTTGGGGTGAGCTGCTTCAGTCCCGGGGAAACAGCTGTGCCAGGCGGCAGGCCTGGGAGATGAGCCGGCAGGATCCATCTTTCTCCTCCTGCCTTGTGCCCTGTCTCTTGGAGTCGCTCCAGACGTGAGCTGGAACCAGGGGGAGCAGCTGTGGGTGAAGTGGGGCTTGGCAGATTAAGCTGGGTTGGAAACTGGAGTGGGCTTGAGGGTATTTTTGGAAGAGCGCAATTGTACTCAGTGGGGCTACATGTAGTGGAAAGTCTCTGGAGCTCTAGCCTGTCCTTTCTCCACCTCGGGAACATGTTTCCATCTCACTTCCCACACGTTTAACAACACGGAACATGTGGAGGGATTTTTTCCCCAGCGCCAGTACAGAGCATGAGCTTGGCTTGTGCCAGATTTCCCCCAGACTGAATGTCCTCGTCTCCGTGAGCCCTGCTGCTCGGTGCCCTGGGCAGGACTAGGAGGTGGGCTGGCTGCTGAGACCACGTCTGTGACCTCTTTTAATGGGAGCCTGGTGGGTCCGCTCTGCTTCTGCCCACAGGAGCATCCCTACGTCTGTAGAGGTGGGAGGAGAGCCAGCAGTGCTCCCACGTGCAGCTGGCTAGCTGTTCCCTGGGGAGCAGATGGGCTGAAAGCTGAGTTTCCGAAGGAAAACATGGTTTGCCTCTTTATAAAGTTACCTTTAGTGTTTTCTTGCAGGATTTAGCCCTGAGAGGACAAAAAAGTGGTGTGTCTCTGTGGGCTGGAAAGGGTCTGTGGCCTTTTTCAGAGCCGGCCTGGCAGCGCAGCCCCAGCCAGAGCTTTCGGTGTTATCGCCAAAGCCAGACACCGCGAGGGGGAAGTGATGGGTTCACTGTCTGGACTGGCGGGATCTGATCGAGGGAGGTGTTTGGTGTTTCTCACTCTTGGTAGCTCTGCTGGGAACTGATCTGTCTTCCCCAAGCAGATCCCCAGCCTGATCCAACGCGTGTGTGGGCTATGAAGGAGTGAGAACTCAGTGAGTGTGCGGTGAAACGGCTCTGGGCCAGCCAGGCTGGGCTACAGGCATGATTTCCACCAGGATGTGAGTTCTTGGTGGGTGAGGAGCACACTTTAGGATGGGAGAAACCTCTGTGTCTCAGTCTACCTTCGTAGCCACTGTCGAAGCATCCAGGGAAAGATCTTAACCACGCTTTGGTATCCTCTTTCTCGGTGCCTGGGAGCTGTTTTCCCTTTCTCCTGGGAGACTGGGCTTGCTGGAAGGAAGGAGGGGGTTGTTTAGGATGTGGCAGCTTATGGGCACCAGAGCTTGGAGGCCTCTGAGCCTCCCTTTGGAAGCGTTTGCAGTGGTGTCACCTGCCCGGGAGAGGGAGCTTGGAGCTCACACTTGGGTGCTCCCACCCCGGGAGGCAGCGGCCCAGGTGCGCGGTGCCCTTAGATGTGGTCTGGGGCTCAGACTCTCCCTGCTTGGAAGACAGTGGAGGAGCCCTGCCGCTTCCCTCTGTCTGCTCCAGCTTGTCTCCTGGCCTCCAGCCCAGTTGCTGTTGTGCAGACGCAAATATTTCCCCAGTGATCTTCCTTGCCAGAGCCTGCCCCACCGAAATCAGCTCTGCCCCTTGCTTTCAGCGCATGGATTTATCTGCCCCTGAGTTTTGCCCCTGGGCTTTGTCTCGCAACTGGGCCGTGTCCTGGACATCTGATGTCTTCTTTCCCCACACTGGGGCAGATGTTCTAATCTTTGGCTCCAGACAGGGTTTGAGATCATCTTTGGGAAGCCTCTTGCAGTTGAAACTGATACAGCTTTACCTGAGGATGGCTGTGCTTTGGATGGCACAGATGTAGCTCACCAGATAACATGGAGGAGTGCGCCTTTTTTCCGCTGATCCCCTTAGCAGCAGCTAAATCTGTTGGCTGCAGCGTTGATTACTGTGCTGGCTCAGCATCCATGCCCTTGTAGGACTGACCCCCACCACCCCAGAGGGGATTCTGAGATCTCGAGTTGATGGTGCTCAAGAGGGAAAGGGGTGTGATGCCCTTCACTGGACAAAGCAGAACGATACAGAACTTCCCCAATGAATTTAACAGCTGGGTTTAGGGCTGGCTTGTGTCTCTGGTGGAAGAACAGCTACAGAAATTAGCCCTGAGGAAGGGGCTGGGTCCTTCAGATGAAGTCGGTGCCAAAGGGGTAGTATGGTGGAGCGGTGAGGACGGGTGCAGGGGCAGATACGAGTGTCCCAAAGCAACGTGACTGCCTCAGGCATAGCCCAGCTCCCATCACTGGAGTGCAGGAATTATTCTGCTCCCTAAAATCATTGCCCTGGTATGATGTGGCTTGAGGGACACTTTCCAGTTGTCAGTGGGGAAACTGAGCAGTGAAGTGATTGAAACAGTGACATGGTGAGTCGGGTTCTTCTCTCCTGCGCCTTAGAGCAGTGAACTGAACCCAGGAGTCCTACTCCCTAGTGACCTGCTCTGGCCTCAGGCTCCCTCCCATTCCCCTGAGTGGTGAAGGCTCAGAAGCAGAAAAAAAACCAAAACCAACCAACCAGTCTCAAAACCTATATGGCAGGGAGGGAGACAAGCTAGAAACTCTCCTCTTGCAGGACTAAGCTGCTGCTGAGCCTCCGCCCTTTCCAGCCTGGCTGGAGCACGTCTCTGACCACCCTGTCCCCCAGCTCCCCAACATTGAATGTTCAGGACTCCCAAGCCCTCCCTTTCCATCCAGGTTTCATTCTGGACGACACTAGCTCTGTGCTTCTCCTTCCCCCCTCCTTGCCCCTCCCTGCCTTCCAAGGACACGGAGCTGTTCAGAGCAGTCATTCATCTCCTGGATCACCTCTGGAGTCGTGCAGCCTTGCACAAACCCAGCATTGTTCCTTTCGTCGAAGGGCTCTGCTGGGTCCTGCCTCCAGGGGAAGCTTCTGCACTGAAGTGCTGTCTCCTGAGCTGGGAACAGCTTGTATGACTGGGAGCTCACTCATAGCTCCCCCCTTTCCCATCCCCCCCAGATTTAAGAGCTAGGGGCTCTTTCTGCTGGCCTGGACTGTCCTCCCCTCCTCTTCTCTTGTACACCTTGACCTGACCCTGAAAGTGAAGTGTGTCCCATGGGTGGGCAGCAAGCAGCAGGGCAGAGATGCTTGTCATATCAGGTCCTCGAGCACCTCTGGGGGCCTTGTCTGTTTTGGATCTCCCAGGTAAGTCCCTTAGAGGAGGGTGTTTTTGAGCAAAGAGCACCAAGAAAGCCCCTGTGCTCTGCAAGGGCACCTCTGGAATGAGGGACTGCCTGGAAGTGTGGTTCTCCTAGAGGGATCTGGGTCCCAAGTGCACAAACCAGACCCCTTTGCAGAGGTGTAGGGGGAATTTAGCAAGGAGAAGCTCTGTGTAGATGAGTAGGGCGGTGGGACCGTGGTGGCCTGTGCAATAACCCTTCATCTCCTGAAGCATACTCGAGCTGCTCTGTGATTCAAAGCCATATGGGAGGCCGGTGGCAGAACAGCAGTGAGCTCCCCAAATCCTTGGCTGCTGGCCCTGCGTGTGCCCCTCCAGCCCTAAGTACTTCTCCCTGGGGATACGAACCAAACAAATTACCTGGGAAGCAATTTCAGCTTCATTTGGCTGCCCTCAGCTGAGACCTGCTGGCAGCTGAGGAAGGAATTGCTGTTTCAGATGGGCTGTGGTAAGAAATTTGGAAAAAAAAAACCAACACAATGCTTTCCATGTGACACTCATGCTTTATTGCAACAGCCATAACCCTGCAGAGCAGATGTTCTGGTTACATAGATGCTATGGTAGTTGTCTGTCCTACAGAAACGTGGAAATACTGCGATGCACTCAGCGGAAATATGCCAAGAGACTGTTAACAGCTCCTGGGAACTCAAAATCTGGGAACTCAGGTGGGGCTGTTGGCAGTGGCCGAGGCCAGAGCCTGGCCTCGTAACAGAACATACTGCCGGGCACTGTCTGTGTGAGGCTGTGCCAGAGGGCCACAGTAGTGCCTGTGCTGAGACCAGAACATCACCCCACCTTGCTCCTAGGGGCACGTGGCATCTACGGAGTTGGCTCCAGTAGCTTTGGTGCGACATGACTGGTGTCAGCTGGGTAAGGTAAAAGCTGCTGTGTGAGTTCAATAAATACAAAGACAAGTCCTGCTCGTTGTAGTTAAATGGGAACCAGTGAATATCCCGTTTCTAGGACCTAGCACCGCTGCGTGTGGAGGCTGGAGTGCCTTTAGGTGAGACAGGAGGAGATGTTCTCTGATAGAGAGATGGCTTATGAAAATAAAAGTTATAAGGAGTTTTAGCTTTGGTGGTGTGGGATGGAATGAGGGCCACCCAAAAGGCAGTAAGATTTGTGAAATACTCTGAAGTGGCCAAGGATCCCCCAGTACAGCCAGCATGTTTGTCACCAGCTACGCAAATCCAGATGTCACAAACCCACCTGGCTCAGGTTGTTTGCCTGCATCTCCCCACCAGCTCAGTCTGGAAAGCTCCGTGCTGCCTTTCTCCAACAGCCTCAGCAGCGAACGCTTCTCACGGACACGCACAGGGCAGGGACAGGGCAGAGAGAAGGATTTTGTAATACTGGTGAAGTGGCTGGGATGGTGGCTTCTGACTGCTGTGTTAAAAGCTTGGCTAATAATACTTTCCCCTCCTGCCAAGTTTCCTGGAGGTACATCTCAAAGATTATGAATGCAGATCCTCTGGGGAAACAGACCTGGAGAGGAGGATGTTGGTGTGGGTGTTTGAATGGGAGAGTCCCTAAAATCCTAGGCTGGTTTCTGCTTGTATCTGGTAACAGAGATGTTAACTGGGATGTTGTAAAGACAAAACATTAAAGACGAGAAGATTCTCATCCTTTGTCCCTTGGACGTTGGCTTGAGTTCAGGAGAAAGTGCTTTGGCCTCGTTTGGCTACAGATGCCAGTGGGTCTCGTGTTGATGCTCTGGGGCTCCGTTTCTCCTAGGAGCATTCTGGGGTGGGAAGGGAACTGAGCTTTGGCCGGGCACCGCTGGTGAAGGCATCTGCTTCAGATGTCGCTGAGTTGTCGCTCTGGCTTCTAGAGGGCAGCGTCTTTGTGGTGGCTCCGTTTGGCTTCATCTCACCGTTAGTGCTGCCTCTTGCTCTGGCGAACAGCTTGGAGTTTCGCAAGGTGCTGGCGGAAGCTGCTGGGGTGGGGGGAACGAGAGGGGGCAGGTTAGAAACGTTCCATTCACACTCTGCTTCACCGAGCTGTATGAACAAAACCACTTACGGTGCTTCGGTCTGGAGTGGATGGTGCTGATGACTGTGGGTATTGGTTGCTCCATGCTGTGAAGGCAAGGACAGAGCATGAGGACACGTATTAACCTCTGCAGTGCCAAAGAGATATAGAGAACTGCAGTTTAGCCCACTTGAGCTGGGCTACCTGAGTAGAGCCAAGTGCATGGTTGGGTCGTGAAGGCTATCTCAACAGCGTCTGGGCAAAGCATCATCTAGAGAAGTGCTGGAACCCTCCAATTGGGGGAATCTAAGGAGAACTTCAGAGCAAGAAACAGGGCTGAACTGTATGGGGATTGCTGGAATTTGTTCTTTCTTTGATCAAACCTTCAATACCAGCTCAAAGCTTGGCATGTCTGCTTTCTCCCTGGGTGTTTGGGTGCATCCCTTCCCCTCATCAGGCACAGGGAAGCCCAGTTTACCTGCTCTCCTCCCCTTCCATCAGCTTCCTGTAAGTGAGGATCTCCACATCCAGTGCCAGCTTGATGTTCATCAGCTCCTGGTACTCTTTCACCAGGTGAGCCATATCCTCTTTGCTCTTCTGTAGGGCTTCTTCTAGCTTGACCAGTTTGGCTTTGGCATCCTTGAGGGCCATCTCGCCGTGCTCTCCTGCTTCTTTGATGTGTTCCTCTAAGTACAGGCACTGGTGTTGCAAAGGGAAAAGGGTGGCGGAGGTGTTAGGTGTGTTGTAGTTTCAGACCTCTATGCCAGAGTTTTGTCACCCACCTCGGGACACACCTGGCTCTTTTGAGACACGATGCAGGACCTCAGCTTCTGGATCTTTATGTTCAGGTCTGCGATCTCCCGCCGGCTGTCCAGGAGATGACCCCCGTAGGTGCCTGACTGGGTGCTTCCTTCATTCAGCTGCAGGGGAGATGGAAGAGTGGGTTATCTGGGCACCTACTCTGCTGTAGCAAAGGAACCTGTGAGGGTTCCCGCTGCCCTTGATGAGAACCACCTAAATGGGGAACAGTAGTGGGTGTGTGGAAGGATTTAGGGCTCACTGTCATATCCTCCTCCGGCTGAAGCTATGCCAGGTGTAGAGCACACTGTCTCTTGGGGTTAAGCACATTCTTTCTTGCTGTGTTTGGAGAAGCACCAGTAGAAGGTCATTTGCATCTTAGGTGGCCAAGGTGCCACTGGGAGATGTCCTTGCCTTTCTCCACTGGTGGTGTGGAGAGCCTAGAGCAATGAAACTCCTAATTTACACGCCTGAGTGTGGAGGAGTTCATCTGGGTTAGCGCCCTGTCCCTCCCTCCATTCCCAAGTGTAGTCTGTCCTTCTACATCTTGCTGATTCCTGTAGTTTCTGGGCTGATCTCTCTCCCTTTTCTTTCCCTGCACCTCCCCAGTACCAATCAGATAAGGAGACAAATACCTTTCTCCTGGTAAGTGCTTCAGCCTCCTCCCAGCTCCGAAGAGCCAGGGCTTCATACTGGGCCCTCACTTCTTCCACAATTCTGCTCAGATCGAGTTTGCAGGCATTGTCAATTCCCAGTACAACGGAAATGTCCTTAATTTCTGTCAGCAGCTCACCGAGTTCCTGAATAGCAAAGAGAGAACAAGACTGAGATATCAGTTAGTCAACAAAGCTCCATGCCCAAAGACAGCTGAACCCTGGCAGATCTGCTGTGCTTGCTTAGCTAGGCAAAGCATCTTAGAATCACAGAATCATGGAATGGTTTGGGTTGGAAGGGACCTCAAAGATCATCCAGTTCCAACCCCCCTACCATGGACAGGGACACCCTCCACTACACCGTCTTCCCTGTGCAGTGTGGAGGTGGTGAGGTTTCCTAGGCTTTCAGTCTCTGAAGGTTGAAGGCTGGTATTATTTTCTCCATGAAATCCAGACCCAGACTAGAGTGTTGGTTTGGGACCTTTGGATACAATCTGTTACGAGTCTGACAAAATGGAGTGTTTGGAGCGCGTCAAGAGCAGGTTAATTGAACTCTTGATCATGCTTCAGTACCTATCAGAATTCAGATGGTGGGCACAAGTGTCTTGGGCAAGAAATAGGGGGGTGTAAATCGTTCTGCAGGCTGGTGGACCTGCAAAGATGCCTTTGCCGAGCTCTGCATCAGTGTCTAGAGAGGCTGTGGCCACCACTTCTGTCGTTATGGTCTGCTTTGTGTCTGGGAAAAGAAGGGAGGAAGAGGATCCTTCTCCGAACACATCCACCGCTGGCAGACCTGGCCGGCTCCCAGCGCCGGGGAAACTCGAGCCAGCACGAGGGAAGCAGGAACACACCCACAGAGACGGCGGTGTCACCGGCTGCGATATGTGCTCGCGATAGCTGAGGTCACAGCTTTAGGAAAAGGAGCCAAACAAGGATGAACGCGGACTCCCCTCAGTGAACCTGAAAAGGACCCTTAATCCATGCCCGCACTCCTGGGTGGTTTGTGTCCGGGCAAGACGTGACTCGATGCTGAGCAGATGGTTCACTTGGCAGCTCCCCCCAGCCTCAGCCTGCTCCCGCGGGGGGGTCACTCCGATCAGTAGCTCTGCGGTCGCTTCTGATTTACACCAGTGTTTAAAAGAGAGCAGCGTACATCTCTCCCCATCCTTACCTTTCGTCTTGATGGTTTTGTTCTTCCCTTTTGTGCTGAGGGCTCTAATCTCTGAGAGAAGCGTTTGTGTAGCTTGTTTGCCTTGCCTTCCCCTGACTAGGGAAACAAAGGGCACCCTGACATGGTGATTCATGAATATCAGAAAAATACCCCACCACTCTTCCAAAGAGCAGGATTATCAGTGTATTTCTTCCCACAGCTGTTTAATCCTTGAGCCCTTTTGTTAACCTTTGAGCAGGTTGAGAGCTATATGAGAAAATGCCTGTTTATTACGAACACTTGAGCATCCTCTGCCAAAAAAAAAAAAAAAAAAAAAAAGAACCTGGTGGTTTATTAATGAGGATCGAGGCTGGGATTTTCTTCTGATTCATACCAACATGCTGTGAGCAAAGCTGTCAAGCAAAATTTTCCTCATTTGCTCTTCCACTGTGTGTGCCTATATGTTGATGTCAGTGAAATCAACAGGTACAGGTGAGAAATTCCTAACCCGACAACAAGCTGTGGAGAGGAGAGGGCAGACAGAGAGGTGGAGGGCAATTTCTTTGTGTGAAGCAAGGGTAAAAAAAAACAAAAACAAAAAAACAACAAAACCATCCCAGCTTGCTGCCAAGGAAGGACAGCAGTGTGAGACCTGGAGGAAATCAGCTCAAGAAGATGATCCTCACAGCAGGATCTGATTTCCAACTAACCCCGTGAATTGCATTGCACCGGGAATAATATTACAATTTTAGGGAAAGTATGGTTAGTTGCAGGCAGGATACGTGTTCTAATGCAGTTCTGATATTGTGCAAGTCTTTCTGCCTCTCTGTGCCTCAGTTTCCCCACAAGGAACGTTACCATTCCTCCGTCAAACATTCCAATTGTTTGTATTGGTAGAATTCAGACAAATCATTAGTATTCCCAGCACACGGCCGAGCCTGCTTGGTGACATTTTACAGGCTCTGAGTAAGTGGCTGAAATCACTTTACTCTGAGTAGATACAGGCACGATGCAGCCCTTGGGTTTGTCTGAAGGGCTGCAGACTCTGTATCCTTCCCCCCTTGGTGAAATCCTTCCTTGAAGTGGAAATGTTGGATTGCATTCGCTGGTTTTGTTGGGAGCCCTTCCTCTGAATTCTGAGTAGAATAAAACTCAGCCCGATCGTGCCCTGGGTGCTGTCAGGGGGGTTGGCAGCTGAGCCCCAGACCAGCCTGGGCGCTACGTGGGGGGTTCTGGCTGGTGGAGAGGAGATGTGCTGGAGCAGCCTCCCTGCAGTAGCTGTGGGGCAGGAGGAACATCCTGATCAAATTTAACATGGAGCTGGTTTACCTTAAGGAAAGGGGATTAGCTCATAAAACCCTGGCTTAAGTCATAGAATCACAGAATCAAAGAATGGTTTGGGTTGGAAGGGACCTCAAAATCATCCAGTGCCAACCCCCCTGCCATGGGCAGGGAAACCCTCCACTACACCAGGTTGCCCAAAGCCTCATCCAACCTGGCCTGGAACACTTCAAGGGATGGGGCAGCCACAGCTTCTCTGGGCAACCTGTGCCAGTGCCTCAGCATCCTCAGAGGGAAGAATTTCTTCCTTAGATCCCATCGAAATCTCCCCTCTTCCAGTTTAAAGCCATCTAATAGCCATCTGCCACACTGTGCAACTCCCCTGGTTAAGCTCTCATTTTGGTGTGAATCTGGATTGATGCCTTCTCTGTCGTGGAACTGTCCACAGAAATGCCATTTTTTTGCATAGTGGCTTGTGCATGTGGCAGGGCCACTCTCCCAGTTGCATTTCTACCTGCTCGTAGATGGTTTTCTTCAAATCCATCAGCTCTTGGAGCCCGTTGAGTTTTACCTCCAGCTCGGTTCTGTGCAGGGTGCTCACATCTAAATCCTGCAGGAGACAGGAAGTACAGTAATGAGTAGTTTGTAGGAAGAAGTATTTCCCACTGCCACCTCTCCCCCAGCAAGTGTCCTGCTTGCTCTTTGCTGACAGGTACTTGTGGAGCTGCTCTTCTGCTCTACAAGTAGGGAGGCTCCTTTGAGGAACTTTTTCCTCTGCAAGTTTGTTGGGGTTTTTTTTTTTGAGTGCTTTGGTGGAAGTCTCAAATGAGGTAGGGTGGAGAAGGAAGCAGGCAGGGCTGGTCCATACCCACTCATCTTTTGTTCACCACAAAAAGCACAGGTTATTGAAAACTCTGATGCCATCCACAAAAGTCACCAGAACTGCCCTTACCGGCTGATGAGTGTGTCAGGGAAAACATGCAATTAGCCATAATGATAATTTGCGGAGA